GATCAATCGGGCCAGTGTCGAGGAACGATCTCCTGTGACCCAGAAAAGCAACAGCACAAGACATATGGTTAGCAGGATGCAGATCCATCCAGAAATGTCGAAGGGATCGATCAATATCAACTCTAGCGGACGTTGACGACCAATGGGAACCATGAAACACTCGGCGTGTCGCACCCGGTGTAGACTGAACACGTCGATGGGAAGCCGGAGAAGGATTTCAAAATTTGATATCATCATCGGCCGTCGCACGGTCAGATTATGGCGATCGGCAACCGTTTTCCAGAAGTGGGTCACGGCGGATTTCGATTCTTCAATTGGACAGTAGTAGAACAGAACTTCCAGCTTGTGCAGATCACGTTCGTCCAGTTCGCTTCGCCGAATACTTGTTACCGGAGGATTGCCCCTTGATGGCGAAAACTCTACGTTCATAGAATCAAAATAGAAATCATTTTCAATCCCAGATGATTCCAGTTGCATGGTTCCTGAATTTTCTGAGACGATAATTAATTTTCTTCGATATTTTAAGGATTGAAAGTTCTGCGGAAAAGTAAAATACGTCAATTTTCCACAAACCAGAAATGCTTACTTCAAATAGTTACAATGTCACGTTTATCCACGAAGAAAATCCCACAATCAACCGGTAGTCGCTTGTCGTCAATGAGGTGCAAGTCGTTGATCAGGAAATAAGGTTCTCCAACGGAAGCGATTAACCGATAGGGAAAATTGTAATACGACTTCATATCCTGCTGAAACACAAACAACATCCTAGTATCATTTCCGCAAAAATCTAACTTTGCGTCCAAAATGAGTTGGAGCAAACCCAACGGGGGTTCCTCTTCCAGTGGCACTTGCGTGGAGGCCAAACATCTGGTACAAGCCAAAATCGAAAAAGCAATTGTTTTCAACCACATGACTCGAACAGGACTGTTGGTCAAAGAATCGTTTGCTGTGTAAAAAGTGCACTATCAGCTCGTGCATCAAATGGATGTTCGGCATTAAATGAGTATTTCATTAGTCCTATGCACTTACAAATGATGAAACTTATGGGAAAGTGCACATCAAAAAGCCATTAATCTAGATGGTGCAAGGCTCTGTTTAGCAGGGCAAAAACTGTTATCTACATTCTTAAATATAAGTTCAATTAAAATACTGTTATTTTAAAATAATGGGAACAAATCAACGCGAATAAAAACTTAGTAATTAAATCAACCAACTAAAATTGACTTCTGTTATCTCACAAATGGTCATTTTAAATTTTGACCAACTGTATTGAATCTATTGATGGTTGATAGTTTACCATTGATCAATTTAGAACTCAATCACTGGATAGGTTTCAATCGAAAATTTATCAATTGTAAATTGGTCAATTGTAAATTGGTAAATTGTAAATTGGTCAATTGTAAATTGGTCAATTGTAAATTGGTCAATTGTAAATTGGTCAATTGTAAATTGGTCAATTGTAAATTGGTCAATTGTAAATTGGTCAATTGTAAATTGGTCAATTGTAAATTGGTCAATTGTAAATTGGTCAATTGTAAATTGGTCAATTGTAAATTGGTCAATTGTAAATTGGTCAATTGTAAATTGGTCAATTGTAAATTGGTCAATTGTAAATTGGTCAATTGTAAATTGGTCAATTGTTAATTGGTCAATTGTAAATTGGTCAATTGTAAATTGGTCAATTGTAAATTGGTCAATTGTAAATTCGTCAATTGTAAATTGGTCAATTGTAAATTGGTCAATTGTAAATTGGTCAATTGTAAATTGGTCAATTGTAAATTGGTCAATTGTCAATTGGTCAATTGTAAATTGGTCAATTGTAAATTGGTCAATTGTAAATTGGTCAACTGTAAATTGGTCAATTGTAAATTGGTCAATTGTTAATTGGTCAATTGTAAATTGGTCAATTGTAAATTGGTCAATTGTAAATTGGTCAATTGTAATTTGGTCAATTGTAAATTGGTCGATTGTAAATTGGTCAATTGTAAATTGGTCAATTGTAAATTGGTCAATTGTAAATTGGTCAATTGTAAATTGGTCAATTGTAAATTCGTCAATTGTAAATTGGTCAATTGTAAATTTGTCAATTGTAAATTGGTCAATTGTAAATTGGTCAATTGTAAATTGGTCAATTGTAAATTGGTCAATTGTAAATTGGTCAATTGTAAATTGGTCAATTGCAAATCGATCAATTGTCAATTGGTCAATTGTAAATTGGTCAATTGTAAATTGGTCAATTGTAAATTGATCAATTGTAAATTGGTCAATTGTAAATTGGTCAATTGTAAATTGGTCAATTGTAAATTGGTCAATTGTTAATTGGTCAATTGTAAATTGGTCAATTGTAAATTGGTCAATTGTAAATTGGTCAATTGTAAATTGGTCAATTGTAAATTGGTCAATTGTAAATTGGTCAATTGTAAATTGGTCAATTGTAAATTGGTCAATTGTAAATTGGTCAATTGTAAATTGGTCAATTGTAAATTGGTCAATTGTAAATTGGTCAATTGTAAATTGGTCAATTGTAAATTGGTCAATTGTAAATTGGTCAATTGTAAATTGGTCAATTGTAAATTGGTCAATTGTAAATTGGTCAATTGTAAATTGGTCAATTGTAAATTGGTCAATTGTAAATTGGTCAATTGTAAATTGGTCAATTGTAAATTGGTCAATTGTAAATTGGTCAATTGTAAATTGGTCAATTGTAAATTGGTCAATTGTAAATCGGTCAATTGTCAATTGGTCAATTGTAAATTGGTAAATTGTTAATTGGAAAATTGTAAATTGATCAATTGTAAATTGGTCAATTGTTAATTGGTCAATTGTAAATTGGTCAATTGTAAATTGGTAAATTTTATATTGGTCAATTGTCAATTGGTCAATTGTAAATTGGTCAATTGTAAATTGGTCAATTGTAAATTGGTCAATTGTAAATTGGTCAATTGTAAATTGGTCAATTGTAAATTAGTCAATTGTAAATTGGTCAATTGTAAATTGGTCAATTGTTAATCGGTCAATTGTCAATTGGTCAATTGTTAATCGGTCAATTGTCAATTGGTCAATTGTAAATTGGTAAATTATTAATTGGTAAATTGTAAATTGATCAATTGTAAATTGGTCAATTGTAAATTGGTCAATTGTAAATTGGTCAATTGTAAATTGGTCAATTGTAAATTGGTCAATTGTAAATTGGTCAATTGTAAATTGGTCAATTGTAAATTGGTCAATTGTAAATTGGTCAATTGTAAATTGGTCAATTGTAAATTGGTCAATTGTAAATTGGTCAATTGTAAATTGGTCAATTGTAAATTGGTCAATTGTAAATTGGTCAATTGTAAATTGGTCAATTGTAAATTGGTCAATTGTAAATTGGTCAATTGTCAATTGGTCAATTGTAAATTGATCAATTGTAAATTGGTCAATTGTAAATTGGTCAATTGTAAATTGGTCAATTGTAAATTGGTCAATTGTAAATTGGTCAATTGTAAATTGGTCAATTGTAAATTGGTCAATTGTAAATTGGTCAATTGTAAATTGGTCAATTGTAAATTGGTCAATTGTAAATTGGTCAATTGTAAATTGGTCAATTGTGAATCGGTCAATTGTCAATTGGTCAATTGTAAATTGGTAAATTGTTAATTGGAAAATTGTAAATTGATCAATTGTAAATTGGTCAATTGTTAATTGGTCAATTGTTAATTGGTCAATTGTAAATTGGTCAATTGTAAATTGGTAAATTTTATATTGGTCAATTGTCAATTGGTCAATTGTAAATAAGTCAATTGTAAATTGGTCAATTGTAAATTGGTCAATTGTAAATTGGTCAATTGTAAATTGGTCAATTGTTAATCGGTCAATTGTCAATTGGTCAATTGTAAATTGGTAAATTGTTAATTGGTAAATTGTAAATTGATCAATTGTAAATTGGTCAATTGTTAATTGGTCAATTGTAAATTGGTAAATTTTATATTGGTCAATTGTAAATTGGTCAATTGTTAATTCGTCAATTGTAAATTGGTCAATTGTAAATTGGTCAATTGTTAATTGGTCAATTGTAAATTGGTCAATTGTAAATTGGTAAATTTTATATTGGTCAATTGTAAATTGGTCAATTGTTAATTGGTCAATTGTAAATTGGTCAATTGTTAATTGGTCAATTGTAAATTGGTCAATTGTTAATTGGTCAATTGTAAATTGGTCTATTGTAAATTGGTCAATTGTAAATTGGTCAATTGTTAATTGGTCAATTGTTAATTGGTCAATTGTAAATTGGTCAATTGTAAATTGGTCAATTGTGAATTGGTCAACTGTAAATTGGTCAATTGTAAATTGGTCAATTGTAAATTGGTCAATTGTTAATTGGACAACTGTTAATTGGTCAATTGTAAATTGGTCAATTGTAAATTGGATAATTGTTAATTGGTCCATTTCAAATTGGTCAGTTGTAAATTGGTGAATTGTAAATTGGTGAATTGTAATTGGTCAATTGTTGAATGGTCAATTGTTATTTGTTTCCAATTCGCAAAAACTGTGAGTAAATTTAATCATTATTTTCTACTATCAAAGCTACCCCGTTTCAAATTAAAAAAAATCAAAGTTAGATAGCGATCAACTTTTTTTAAATTTGTCACAGTTTGCAGGGAACCTCAAAAAAAGTCGAAAATCCATTGGAGAGTAATGCGTGGTTGAAAAGTTGACCCACCCTAGCATCCATTAATGCATATTGATTACCATGTTTCCCCGTAGATTGCTTACTCCCTACTGACGTGGCATAATCATTCACTATCGGTAATTTTTCGATTTCCTTTCAAAACTGAGAGTATTACGATTCCATTCGGCAAGAGATGAACTAGCCTCAGGCTAAAAATCTCTAAAATAAAGTTTAAAAAAAAAAAAAAAAGATTCCATTCGGCGTGCAATGGATCATTTCAGCATATATTTTCCCAATCCAAAAACCCCATGCTAATCAACCCCGTGCGCCCCCGTCTATCCCATTCCAGTAATCTTCCGGGTTTACTGTGCGGACCATACGTACTGCACTCTGCGCTTCCCGATGTCCGCCTCGGCCGAGATCATCAAGGCCTGTGCTGCCGACAAACTGCAGCTGGCCCGAATGCCGGAGGACCTGCTGCTGGTGGAGGTCAAATCCAACGGCGAACGGATGGTGTACAAGGACAACGACGTTAGCATACCGACGGCCTTGAGCCTAAACGGACGGGTATTCGTTTCGCCCAAGGATCACCTGGATGCGCTGGTAATAATTACCGCCCAATCACATTGCTGCTGCATGTAGAGCACATCTCCGTACGCAATCGGATTAAAATCGATTCGGTTTTTTTTTTTGTTTCACTTTGCAGACTCCTCTACCGGAGCAGGAGCTTCCAACCGAGGCGATCGATATGGACTTCGAAGCGCTACCGACCAAGGACGTTGCCTACCACATGACGCTGTTCGATTGGGATCTGTTTTGGGCTGTGCACGAGTACGAGCTGCTGTACCATACCTTCGGGAGACATCATTTTAATAAGGTTAGTGAGCGTGTGTGTGTGACGCTATGTGCGTTGATTTATGGCAAACTATGCTCTCAACGGATGAAATTGCCTTAAGCCTGAGTCCCACTTTCCTCGCTAACTTTGTTCACCTCTTGATAAATCATGGGCTATTTCAAAAGTTCAAAAGAACCTCATTAATGACTATATTCTCCTTTATCTTTATGGGAGTTGGGATAAATCCGGGCAAGAAACTTTCCAGCGCCTCGAGCTCTGCAACCCCCACGAACCATGACGACAACGATGAACACTTTTTCCCGAGGCCTACTCTCTGCCATCATACGCTTTTACGCTCCTCTCGAGAAGTCAAAACCGCATAAAATCAGAAAATTTATGACTCACCACGGTTGGCGGGCGGTGCTTGGCTGGATGGATCCGACACTGATGTTCGGAGAAAAGCAATAGAAAACGATTGCGACTCACCGTGGAACCTGAAGTTGACGGATGATAAAATAAATGACGGAAAGATAATTTCAACAAGTGGAAAATTAGTTCTGCAATAACGTGGTGCCCGTGACGTGGTTGGAAAAAGTTTCTTTTTAATTTTCCACCGTGATGGGAATCGGCATAAAATGGATCATCTTGTTAATTTTCCTTCTGACTGTTCCACTGTTGGAGTTCCCCCCGAACAATTCAAATCCGGGTGCATGGTGAGAGGGTCCCGAACGTAAACAATTTCTTATTTCGGAAATTTATCTCCTGGGATTATGAGAAACTTTCGAAAGAAGTAGGCCTAATCGTCCAAAACAAATCTGTCATTAGATAGTTTTCACCTCAACAGATGCCGATAATGTTTACAAAATATGCTTCCACTAATTTCCTCCGATTGATTGGCAAGATTAGTTTAGCTACATTTCAATAGGATACCTACGACGAAACCTACCCTCCAGCACAGCACGTTTCTGTGGAGGCGCATGGTGGGCTACTAAATACCCGACGTTGAATGTATCATCCCTATGGCTATGACGGTACATTGATTGAGTTTGAGACGCTGCTGCTGCTGCCTCCACGTTGATTGATTGGTTTTCCGAAAATAAAATTGCAGTTTTCCACGATTTTTGGTTCACCACAAAAACATCGTTCAGAGGCGGTTGTTTTCATCGGATTCATGCAAATTCAATTACGAATTCAATCGAATGAAAATACACACGCACACGCTTTCGTGTACGAGTGAGCTTTCAGAATGAATGAAGGCGTGAATTAATGAATGAATAAAATACTACAACAATCATTTGCCCGATTTCATTGAAATTTAACGCATATAACTGATGCAATCTGGGTGTCGGTTCCATTTCCAGGAACATTTTAATGAATGCAAATTCTTCAATGCGTAGTATTTACCTGAACTGAATCCAACTATTTTGTTCTATGCAATATGAAAACTCGGTATCCTACATCGCAACGAATTGAGGATTGCGTATTTGGCATTTCTAGCAAATACTCTCCGTGATTGAAGTGGAAAGGGCACAACACCGGACCAGGATTTTCCATCTCAATTTAATTCTCTTTTCCTGGTAGAGGAGCACAGTTTTGTCAATACCTCTTCCCACTGTAGTCCATAATCGGTTTACCGTTGGACAAATTCAGTGGGTAGGTAAATAGAAGAATTCATCAATTTTAAGCAGCTTCATTTTCGTTTCATTTTGGAGCAGTCGGTGTCCCTGTAACTAGAGTTAGTGTATAATAAAAGTAAATACGAGTAAATCCACCAATCTACCATTCTATTGTGAACAGCACGATGCTAAGAAAGTTCAGCGAAAAGTATTGCAATGGAGAAAATATGATCACATTTGTTTGATAAAAATCGATGAAGGCGAATCCATTTTGGCGAACAAGTAGTAACTCAGGGAGATACCTTTTTCAATTTATCTAATATCGTTCAAACCTTGGTTCTTGTTGTTCAAAGGCTGTATAAGGTCTAATGATGATGATGATTTTGATAAAGGTCTACCACTCATTGTAGCACGGAAACTAGTCCGATAGCTGTGGGCTCTCATCACTGTTGAACGTGATCAAGCTTTATAACCTCTGATTGTCATCATTAAATCGCTGTTTGAAGGGCCAAAAACGAATGGATGGATTGATAGGCAATTTGCCCATTCATTTCCTTGGGATAGTTAAAAATCTCCTCCCAACAACTTGATCAATCAATTCGTCAGAAAATGAGTCTTCTTACCTTTATTTAACGTCGGTCTCTGTTCCGCAATCTAGTGCCAATCACAGGCGGACATCGATTGCCATTCATTGACGGCAATCGAATGTGCAGGAAGGCAGCTTCCACACCTGCGTAGGTTATCGCACCCATTCAAACATACACATGGGCCGGGACCAACGGCTTTACTTCCCTTCCGAAGGAAGACGTGACCAGAGATTTTTATGCCTCAGAAAAATCGCACCGACCTCGGCTGGGATTGAACCCAGACCCATTGGGGTGAGAAAGCAATCACGCTTACCACTACACCACTGGCGCTGGCAAGAGAAAATGAGTCATCCAACAGGAAGATGCCCCAATGAATGAGGAGAAAAGCCCGCCCTTTATTCACGAAATGTTTGCAACAGGGAGTTGACATCTTCACTTTCCCAATCCAAATTTGCTTCAATTGGGTGCCCTGATGATCCCTCCTCATCCTGGTTTTTTTTTATATATACAGTGTTTAGTTTTTTTATACATAGCGCTCAAAAGTCATTTAACAAACAGTGTTTAAGTTATAAATTTCCTCTGTCAAGAAGTCTATAAGTAGTGGAAACATTAGTCAAAATGCAAGGACATTGAAGAGTGTTCCAAACCATGTCTAACTTTTATTTACTTTTAAAACCAAATAAACATGTTTTTTTAGTTCAAAAGTTATTTTACAAAACGGAAAATAGTAGGAAATTCAACAGTTTCTCAACAAAATGGGTAAACGAGTAATTGGAAGATGATTGACTTCAGTACTTAAAGGTTGTCCCACATCAAATTGCATTACGGATAAAACGCTGTAGAAAATTACCCATTGGGTATTTTTTCTTGAAAATTTGGGTAGAAGTAGTTTATAGTGTATTGTGTACACTGTATTTTTATCGCTGTCAGTTTTTCGAAAGTTGAAAAAATGGTGTCGCCCGAAAAGCAACGTCGGGAATTGATTTTGCGCAAGCACCTGGAAAATCCTCAACTCTCTCATCGGGACATCGGAAAATAACTTGGAATCGTTCAGTCAACGGTGAGTCGTGTGATTAAACGTTACTACGAAACTTTGAGCATCGAACGGAAGGAGAAATGCGGTCATGGATGTTCTATTAGTGATCAGGATCAGAAACATGTCGTGAAAGCGTTTAAGCGGAATCCCCATACTTCGGTCAGACATGTGACCAAAAAGTTGAATCTGTCCAAATCTTTCGTTCAGAGAGCCAAGGACCGGGAGGGACTTCATACTAGGCTGATGCAAAATTTGAAATTTACGCTCCACACTGTTCAAACGGTTTCAAATCGGGTGCTGATTAGCCTCCGAAAGTTTAATCTCATTTGATAAGAAACTGACTTGGCACAAACCATTTGAAGTTTATATGGAAATTACTGAGCTTGAACTTGAGCTTGATTGACCGCCCACGGTTGCTACTCTGTTACTGCCAGATCAGCTGTAATTACACAGAGAACCAATAGACGATGCTTGGGACTAGCAATCATCCTCAATGTGTAAAAACTGGTGATCTTAAATTAGGCAATACCAGCGCCGGCCGCGCCCGAACACAGGTCAAGAAAGGTATGGGAAGGATTGTGTTGACATGACACTCGCTTTGATGGAAGCCGAGAACACCTCTGCACTTCCACGAGTAATCACTGGGATGTTGGATAAGAGGGTTGGGTTTGCAGCAGGGTTCGTTTTGGTAAACGATAAGCTGAATTGATGTCCTAACAATCATATAACGCGAAGGAGCTTGGGACTAAACCCACGGTCTTCTGCTCAGTAAGCAAAAACGTTTGCCACTAGGCAGACGAGCACCTTTTTTATCACCGAGTTGCTGTTATTATCATGTAGTCATATTAACAAATAAAACGATTGACGAATCTTGAATGTGGATGGACCTGAGATTAGACTCATGATGTTCTGCTCAGTAAGCAAAAACGGTTGCTCTAAGGCCACCGAGCCCCTCATATCACATAATACCGTTGCTCAAATTTGTGTATCCATTCAAACCCGGAACCAACGACAACAACGAGTTTCGCAAAATACACGATACACAAGCGATTTTACAATAAATCTCTTTGATATGTAAGGACCTGGGACCGCGTTTTTCTGCTCAGTAAGCAGGCCACTGTAACCGACGATCTTTCAAATCCGAAAACTAAAAACTACGAAAAAGTACTTAGGCCTTCATTAAGTTCCACTTTCACGCGACGTTCAATGACAGGGTCCTATCCAGGATTACATCTGAAAAATCCAAATCTGGCCAACGCCCACCCTAAACCTAAACCTGTTCTAATCCACCTGAAATGACTAACGAATGGAAGACTCATTCCGTGCCTTATGGCAACTTGATGATTCTATTGCGCTCATCTTTTTTCACCACCCAGGGGAGACTTGGTCCTGTACCCAATGCTTAACTTATCTCCATTCCACTCAGCTACTCGCAATTTCTTGTGATATAGTGGGCGGAATATTATTATATGAGACAATTCAATGCAGACGTCTTTCCAAATTTGGCAGATCGACAGGTAATCGGTGAGTTACCACGATAGTTGCTATTCAACAACTCGACAACGTCCCATCATCAACGCCTGCTATGAGAATTTCCCATTGCAGACGCCAACGAAATGACGTCATCGAGCTATCGATCAACTACCTTGGTTATCGCCTGGTACCTTATAGCACGATGCTAGGAGGCGAACCGGAAGAATCGATGAGCTACCTCTCCCCCGAAGTTTATATGGAAATTACTATGGGAAAACAAAACTTTTTGTTAATTGTCTTCTACTCTTTTTACATATTGTACTGTTATTA